AGACATCCCAAAATCATAGAAGGCTAGTAGTATGGTAACCCACATGAATCGGATGCTATGTAGTTTTAAAAAACAAATCTGAGATATTTCAAGTTGAAAATGCACTACTTTAGTGTAGACCATCTTTGTTCAACTTGACCTCACCCACTGTTTGACTTATTAAGCACTTCAATTCCATGATCTGTGTGATTTCATAAATGTTTCTGCTGATTTTTCATTCATACTCTGCAAAGTCTTCCTTGTTCATTTGTGTTATTATGACTATCACTGACCATTTTAAATAGTGATCTCTCAAATTTATTTTAGGTGTTTTATTTGTCTTGATAGATTTACAGTCTACTAATAAAGATGTTATCTTATTCTATGGGTATTAGGATAACTTGCATGTTTTACATTTTTGTTGAGGAAGAACATACTGAGATTTCCATATCTATTCCATCAGATCTCTCTCTGTTACAATATTTATTAAGTGATCTTAAAGTAAATAGTTTTTCCTAAAGGTATATTTGAAGGTGTCATTTTTGTATTTAATGTTGTCTTGAAGGCTATCTGGAAACTAACTCTCTGTAACTTCTTACCCTATAATAATTCTGGAACACGTATAAGTCAGGGTAGATCTGGAGAGATGCACTATCTTTCTAGGCCATGGAACAGTGAGTTCATGGTAGTAGTAGTCCAACAGGTATTATATATAACAGATCATGATATCCTGCTTTAAAGAACAAAACAAGAAGGGTGTCATGGCCCCAATAAAACAATGAAAGTCTCCTCAGGAACCCTTCAAGTAGTTTTGCCACTGGCAAAGCCCTTTGTTAATGGCAGCTTCTAGCTGGCGTAAGGGTCTTGAGGTATTTTTTGTTCTAATTAGTGTAGCACGGTCAAGATAAAAATTTTCCACCACAGCCTTGGTGATCCCCCAAATAACAACTCTATCCACAGATCCAAAGATATCAAAATTGATGTGATGCCTCTCTGTCACTCACAGTGACCCTGACAGCAATGCATGATAAGACTGGGTATAGGGAATGGCGACGGGAGCAACTGTGGCTTCCAGGACCCAGACTGTGTTGTGTCCCCATAATGATGTTGCAAACTGATAGAGAAAGAAAGGGGGAGTTTCCTAAGGCCGTCTCAGCAAGCCATTATGGGCAGAACAGCAAAAATCATCAGTATACCCTCCATTCTTTGTCAGCAATAACCACACAAGAGGGGTTCCCCAGAAAGGTAACAGAAATCAGATGTCTGCTTGGCACTGTGGGAGTCAACATGCAGGAAGCCATGTACTTTTTCTCTGAGGGAAAGTGTCCCAATTGCCTGACTCTTAGGGGAAGTTTACAGCATATACCTCAGGTGACAACATCAGTTCTATGAAGTTCACTAAACCCAGAAGGCTTAGATTATTCACCACACTGTGTCAAGTTTTATATGTGGCAGCTATATCCTGCTGCCAGAATACTAGAATGTTAATAGAACGTAAGAGATAGGAATATAAATGTGCCCTGGAACCATAAAGCAGTCTGAATTGAGAGAATAGCTCTTTTTTCAGTATATGAAATCCTTCCCAAACAAGAGCATTATGCAGCTTTCAGATTTCAAGATGACTGGTTGTAAGCATGTGGGGATTGTGAGTTTTTCTAGTCTCTAGGACAGACAGCATCTATACTGTTGGCCTCGTTTCTCTTTTTACCCTCACCCCTATGAAGGGATAATCTTCCCCGAATTCTGTCATCCCAGGATATCAGATGCCATGTTTCTATGCTGCTGTCTCAGGCTTCTGATCTTACCAGGTTCTGGGTGCAGATTTCAGATTGTCCCAGTCATTACTCACCTTTTAGTTTGGTTCTTCCTTGGAGAAGAGGAAATGAGGGTTGGACATTTCTGCTCAACCATATCGAATCTTAAAATTTGTTTTGTTGATTTTTTTTTGAGATAGAGTCCCACTGTGTTGCTCGATGACCTTTAACCCACAGAGATCTGCCTGCCTCTACCTCTTGATTCCTAATGTCAAATGCATGAACCATCACAGTTGGTACCAAATTAATTCTTCTAAATGAAGTCCTCAACTTCTTTTATTTGGTGGATATTCTTTGCTCCATTTTGTGTTTCTTCAGAGTTGAGTTCCTCCAAAGTGGAATCATTGATGATGTATGTTCAGATTAGTATTAAATCTTGTCTTAACCTGTGGTATTTATTCCATAAATTGCTAGTTGGGTTCACTGGTGTTTAGGAGACATAGAGTCCTCTTTAATATAAAGGAAACAGTGGGGAAAACTCCTGTACCAGGGCTACTGATCTGAACCATTCCCACCCAGGTTATTACAATATGAGAAGCTGAGAACTATGTCTGTTTTTTCTTTACTCTAGATTGTTGTTATTTGTCTGACCCATTGAGGGCATGTTTATATGTAGAAATCACAATAACTGGATATTGCCCCCTTCCTCCAGTATTGTATAATGCTCCAAATTAAATTCTTCCTTTTTTGTAACATCTTTCTTTGTCAATAATAGTTTCCATCATGGATTCTGGGTTGTAGATTCATTCCTCACTTGGATCAACTTGTCTGTTATAGGAATTAATACTAATCTCTGAGTTATGGAACATATGGTTTCATCTGCTTGTAGTGAGATCATGAATTTATTATAATGGCTTTTAAACCATTTTGATAGGTCTGAACAAAAAGGAACTATAATGATTCTGCCTTTGTGAAGTAAAATATTTATTATCGTATTTTTAGAGACATCAACAATTTAGAATTAAATAGTAGTCAGGATTTTTTAGGTTAAAATTATAGTATTCATAGATAAGAATCAAAATAGACTCTTTTGTTACTATAATGCAGTTACCATAAAATGTAAGACCTGTAAGTTAGATGAAATATAAAAAGCAGAATGTGGTAGTATATAATTGTGACTTGGCCAACGTGGTGATTCTTCTCTGACTGATACTATATTTATCATTCCTCCCAATCATGCAAAAATCTCTCCCTCATCTGAAGATGAACTATAAGCTATTGCTGTTTTATAGACAAAGCTAACCATGTGCACCAGTTTCATATCATTCTTCCTAAGGTGCTACCTTAGACATGGTGGCATAGTTTTGATTCTTTAGAAATCAATATATGATTTCCTCACAGTTGTCTTGATCTTGTTGGTGATCTACTTTGATAAACTAGCTTGAAGGTACTTTTATAGGAATAAATGCTAAGATTTGCTAGTTTCTCCATTAGATGGAGGGAAGATGTAGCAGCAGGAAGTTTACTACATCATGCAGAGTCTGAGAATTAACAGAAGTACATTAGGAGTAAGTTGCTTCAGATCAAGTGAAATAGATGTCTGAGACAATCTTATCTTAGGTGTCAAGGATAAAGGAAGCTCCTGCAGACACCTGAGATATTATTCATCCATAAGAATCATGGTTGGCTAGCCAAAATTGTATTGCAGTGGTAGGCATCACTAAATATTCACTGAACTAAGGGGCAATCATACCAATTAAACTCTTGGAATGTCACATGAGATGACGAATTTCTACAGAGTTTTAAGCATGTGCTAAAAATGAGAAAAGCATTCATTAAAAGTTAGACTGTGACAGTCAGCCTATCAGCCTGACGGCAGCTAAAAGTCTGTCAAGATATGTAAATTAGCCTTTGTTGCAGGAATGATTAGATAGTAAATTTATAAAAAGGATCCCATAGGAAAATGGTGCTACCCATGTCATCAATGCACTCACTCCAGTACTTAAAACTAGGCGAATGCTCAGCGTAACTTATTAGCAACTTCTGAGAAGTCTTATGTACTACCATATATTTTCCCACAAATACATAAATAATGCTGATTATTTAAAAAACTGTTTTAGTATTTCCATTCCAAGTATTTTACTACAAATTCCAATGGCCCCTAAATCATTCTCCAGAGGCTGTAATAGACAATGGTATAGAATAAGATGCCTCTGACTATCAAGCCCCTCAAAAGCAAACTTTAAATGCTCATTTATGCATTTCTTTTACACTTGATCTACATTACTATTACTATCATAATCACACAACGGATAATGCTATTCACTGAGTATTAGAGATCTATTTCATTAAGAAAGAACATTTCAAAACAGACAAAGATACTGTGAGATTAAATAATTTATTACTGTTGCTATGATGAACACATATACTTGATACTCAATTTTATGTGGAACTTTAAAAAAATAGTTTTGATACAGTATCAAAATTTACACAAGTATTTTGTCAAAAGACCAATGTCCTTTGTATCGCTACTGCAGGCTCTGCTGCAAGCACAAAAACTTGTTTAAATGTCTTCAGATTGTAGGAATACAACAATTGAGGGATGTTTCTAAGCAAGGAAATAAAACAAATTACTTAGACACTAAAACTATAGCAGTTTAAAGGAAAATTCTTAAATTATAAATTAGTTATGATAATTAGGGAGACCTTTTTATATTAAATGAACTCATAAATATTTTCAGAAAATAGAAGGCAGTTTTGAAAGTCACAATTATGCTTTTTTTACTATGACAAATTTCTTCTCATTCCCCTACCAATAATTATTAATATGCTATATAATAAGACCATTCATTTATAGACAACAAAGAATATTGACTGTGAATCAAATCATAAGTTTATAAGCTATCCAGGAATTGTTGTATCCCTACTTTACAATCTTAAACTACAGTAAAAACAGCATTCTGTCACAGGTCTCTTGCACATTCATACAAGAAACTATCATTGCATTTAGATAAACACAAAATATCTATCATAGCATTTCCAGTACACACATTCTATTATTATACATCTATACCAAAAGTCAGAAAACTAGCAAAGCTAGCACACATCTCAAGCAATCTGAACAAGAGCTTTTAGCCTCAATAATGGACATGCGTTAGCTTCCTAAGACATTAGATAGCTGCAGTGATAGGCAAAGAAAGCTTCCGTTTCCTAGTGCAGTGCAAGACTTTAAATTTTACATAAAGTTTATTAAGTATACAGCATGTCTAGAAACTAAATTGTAGAAATGGACAATCTCACAGCTAGAAACACCTAGAAAAATTATGTTTGTTTCCTTGTTAGTTGACATTGGTACATTGAATATATATGAAGGTTTGTATGGTCCAAAGACATGCCTTTATAAACAACTCATCAAAATTAAATTATTTATTTTGACCAATTGAAAATAAATGATACTCTCTGCTAAGCACTCTAAAAATTCCTCCTACCTTTCTAGCTGGTAAAAGATTTTATATTACTTTTTTTAGCACCTCAGAATTCAAATGAGAAAACCAAATATTATCTTGCATCCAACTAATTATGCATCAGGAAGCAATCTTTCCTCAACTGATATAGATATGAGGGAGCTTCCCAACCCAGGTTGTATGCTCGAAAATACTTCTTCATATCTTCCACACAGTAGAAAGTTCCTACCATTAGATACAATGAACAACCTCTATCAAAGCCACAGAGGCTCTACTGGACTCACCAACCATGCAGATTACCCAATATGTCAATCATGGTTGTGAAGAGTCAAAAACGTTTCAGTTGTCATGAAAGTATCATACTAAAACGATTTTCCAAAGCTACCTTGAGACTGCTATGAACACCAAAGTTGAGACATTTAGCGCGTATTAGCTGTATGGGGGAAGGTACACTGAAGGATTTAGAAGGGAAATATGAGCAATGTACAATCACTCCATGTGATGTCATGAGTTCTATTTTGTAGAAACTGAATTTCTTCTTTGACTTCTTTTTCTGCTGTCTCTAGTAGTGGTGAGGTCATGTTTGAAGGCAGTGCTTCTCACATAGGCCCTTTGTACTGGTTTCCTGACAAATGTTGCCTAATTCCAGGACAGGAGCCTGCAGCATCTCCAAGTTTCCTCCACACAACCTTAAAAAAAATAAAAGAGGTAAGTAAATTAGGTGTTATCTTGCAGAAACAGATGTGAATTTGAGGGGGGAAATGAAAGGTTCAAAGATGAGTGAAAAGACGAGACAAACTCTCCACATGGATGGGTTGAAACACAAAGTAAAGCATGATAGTGACAACTTTGTGATGGTGACAATTTCTGAAACACAAGAACTTATCATCAGCTATAGTGCTATACCTCACTCCAGCAATCAGGGCTGACATTTTTAAAAGATATAACATCTCACTCTAGCTATCTTAGTGGTCCTCAACCCTGACTTAACAGTAATCCTCACCTACAAAATTCTGAAGATGCTGGCAGAAAGGAGGTACCAATATCTGTAATTTTATTTAAAGTTCCCAAAGTAATTTCCATGTGCATTTAGAATTAAGAGCTCTTTGTTAAAAGAGCAAACTTGCATCTGTAACATACACCTGTAACAAGAGATATAATGCCTAATTCATTTAGAAAAGTGAGTTTGTATTTTTGAGCCACATAAATTCTAATCTTCTAATCTTAGTTTCCTGATCTTTGCAATGTAGGAGATGTGGTCATCATACAACTCTGCTAGTGAGCTACTACAGAATTCTCTCCTTTCCAGAAGAGAAAAAACATAAACATAGGGTTAAGAAAATTCAGAAATTATTGAAATAAATACAATTACACCTAATTAAAAAATGGTCCAGTTTGGGTGAATCTTATAGCAAAAAGAAAAAATCAAGAATAACATGAGTATAAAACTAAGGAAGTCACCAAAAATGCCACTATATAACTAGAATAAACACAAGCATGTCTACACACTGTTGAACAACCTAGCCACCCTAGACTGTTCACTATGCAGATATTGTTAGACTAAAGTAGTTTACAAAACAGTGCTCTGACATGAACCCCAAACCAGTTTGTTCGTTAGAAATTGAGAGACTATTTCTTTTTATTTTGCTTCTAGTTAGAAGTTAATTCACCGGGGACATGCACTATCATTTACAATGATGTACAGACAGCCCTGCTTTTCTTCATTTCAAAGACAGTGAAACTAAGACATCACCACTACACGCACAACATCTTATAACACTCAAAGGGAATTTTAGTTATGGCCTTTAAATAGCAGGAATAGAATTTTACAGCAATGGGTAGTTTCAGCTATATACAGGAAGTCAAGAAAGTCTCAAATGATGCCATGTACTTCCCATTTGTAGCCCATAGATAAAATCAGTTCTACCAAGAATGTCTTGAATGTCTGATTTTGAAGTAAAAGATATATCTGAAGACCAGAGAATACCTGCAGATATTTAAAAAAAAACCTGGTTATTGTAATTAAATAATGGAACTCCTGTTCAGTTACCGAATTATGGAACACAAGGGGTCCCACCCAGGTATTACAATGGGGGAAAAGGAAACTCCTGCTGATGTCAGAACTCTGAACTAAAGCAGTGACACTAGGGGTGCAATGTAGATAAAAAAGCAGAAGTCTATGCACAAGAGTATGATTGAGATCACCAAGTATCTCAACTGTCATTTGGAGATTTTGGACAAATTTAAAATGACAAGGTCACTAAAAATGATGATTATGATTCTCAGAGGGCAGTATATTCATAGGTAGAAGAGAACCAACAAACCATTCATTAAACAATGTGATAGTCTACAGAAAGAGTCTTTTCGGTTTGTTGATGTTACCTGCTTATATCCTGGAGGAATATCAGTAACTGACAAGATTTTCATTACCTGAGTTCTTGCAGAACCTTATGAAGTTTATCATGGCACATATAACTCTGTATTACTATGAAAGTTTATAGATCTTCAAATAGGAAGTATTTGTAATCTTTGTTACCTTCCAGGAAAATTATTTATTAAGCTGCCTTATAATCTGCTTTCTTAACTATCCACCCTGTAGTGTCCTTTTGAGTTTATTCTCCAGTTATTCCTGTGTACCCTTGATGGTTGTGTAATTTATAATTGTGCCATGGGTACTATTTTATGTCATTTCCAAATGAGTTTTAAAAGTAAGTGCTAAGGTTTGATTTCTATTTTGCATTATATTATAGGGATCAAAATCAAACATCAACAATTAGAAAAAGATACCCTATAAGAAATTTAAAAAAAAAGAAGGGTGGGCTTAGGGTTGCCTTCTTGCATAGTTAAAAGACCACTGGAATATAGTATCCATTTAAAGCAAACAAAAAGATCAACAAAAACTAACCATGATCCCAAGACATGTTCAGAAAGTTTTTCATAAGAAAGGAAGAGAAGGGCAGAGGCACGAGGGCAAAAGTCAATCTGGTATTAAGCAAAATAAACAAGGTATTATCTATAGGGCAGAGTGCTTTCATTCGTTATGATGAGAGGTAGGAGTCGCTGGTCCTCAAAGGAGAACTGGCTAATATGTTGACTTCACTAATGAGTTTGAGCATATAACTTCGTTTCTGGGTCTTAGCTCCTTCAAACATACACCGAGTGCTGGGGCTCTTGGCCAAAGTGTCACACCCAAATCACCTGTAACTGATATTATTGATGTCAAAGGCATAAATTCAATGAAGGAGCTCCACATATTCCTAGGAAGTCACCAGAAGATGACTCTGTGCTTCTCTCCCAGTACTATAATTCCCATCAACTGACCTTTATTTGTTTTTGATAGCTAATAGATGAGCAGCAATGAAAACCTAAGGCTTATAAATCAAAGCTAAACATTTATCTAAGGTAAATAGTGAAACAGAAAGATCTTAAGCAAACTTTGAAATGCTACAATGAGTAAACATTGGTGCATGGAGAAAATGATATGTAGAACCATGACCAATTAAAACCAAAGAACAGATGTGCAGCAATGAAAGGTGCTTGGAAAGGATTGCAAAACAAAAGCAGCCACAACACAGGTAAGCAAGAGATTTGGAAATTATTACCCCAGCACATATAAAATGCCCTTGGGACTTAATGATCATTTACTGGATTCCAGAAACATCTTGAAGTGGTGAATCATAGGTCTGAGAATATACAGGATTGATAAATGCAAAGCTAAAGGGTATTTCTATGCAAGTTTTCCATTCTGATATAAGCATATAATGTGAGATTAAAAACACAATGTAACAATACAAATTCAATTAAAACTTGGGCCTGGCCATGACTTCTTGCATTTAACAAATGTATTGCTCTATAATTGTTCATTTAGTTCTTTAAAGCTGCCTGACTGTATTCTTGATTAAACAATATGTCAATCAATAATCACATTTACATGTATTTAACTGACTTATCTTGTTTCCAGGATAGATTTCTGCTCTTCTATACAATTGGTACACCTAGCTATGCAATGTCTAAGTTTGAGTTATCTCATGAAAAGTAAAGACAATACTTAGTATGATATGATGGGTATATCACGTAAATATTAGGTAGCAAAGTAATTGATTTCTGGGATTGTTCATTATAAGTTTTCATTATTTTTATAATGTCTTAAATTCAATATTTAAAAAGGTTTATAGGTCTTTCTGGAATGCAGGACTGACTGATCATTTCTGACCACACCCAGGGCTTTTCATGTAGTAGGTAACCACTAACTATATCACCAATCTCACTGATCTTGGTGATTTTTAGCATGACTATGAAAATATCTCTGTAATAAAACAAACTGAAAATAAAAACAAAAGCAATTGTTTTATTTTCATGAAATAATGTAAAGATATTTGATTATCAATTTCAAAGTAGATATTCTTAAAAGAATAACTAAGCTGCGATGAGGCTTTCAACACAGAATACACAATAAAGCACATCAAACTTACATTGCACATTTCTCTGACTATAGCTTTTTCTGTCTCACTAAGGTCATGGTCATACTCTTTACCCTGTTGACGATCTATAGTTTCCTCAACATCCAAGACCTGGATTCATTGAAAAAGAAAAGCAAATTTCACATGGGAAAAATCTGTTAGTTTATGATAATACCATTAAGGACCTCCACTATGTCAAATCTTAAGATTTCTCCATGTCTGCATATCAGAATGCATTCATATATGGCAAAATCTTTTTAAGTGGTTAGTTGTTCTGACACCTGGAATGAATTTCAATAATTTTTTCATTCAAAGCAATATATTTTATCACTAATAGTGAACTGAATTCACTAATGTCTAAAATAATTAGATACAACTAATTTGGTCATTAAGATAATTAATAGTGTGAACCATTTTTGATACAGTCAATAATTCTTGGTCCAATACAACAGTGGATATAATTCATTATATGCCAAATGGTCTGAGTGATATGTAGACAAGGCACATATAAAAGATGGCTACAAAATAATAGGCCTGTTAAGGATGCAGATGGGGACTACTGAGCTCACAGTTCTCACCTGGGCTAGCCTAAGACAGAGATATAGGAATGGATCTTCAAAAGAATACAGACCCCTTACAATGAAAATATCCAAACACTTCAAATATTTTTCATTTGAACAAAGTGTGTTTTTAACTGTCTTCTAGGCAAGTTTATTGACCTATGTTTCTTTTTTTCTAAATTGTCCTGAAATAGACTAAATATATTACTTTTAAAGTGTGAACATTTTTGTAGTAACAGTCAGTAGAACGGAAGGGTGCTGTTTGTCACTGTAGAAGTAGTTTGAAAGCCAAAGCACTGATGTATCACAAAAACTAATTCTTATCTTGAGCATCCACACTGAATTGTGACTTACTAAATAGTGTCATCATAGTCAGGGATACCACCTCTAAGGGTGTGTCCCAATAATTATCACCAACGAATAGTTAGGGTCTTTATTTCAAGTTCATAAACACTGAGACTAAGTTTAATATTTTAATAGTCTTATTCAAAAACGTATACTCATTATCACTATAATCACAATATTTTCTTTAAAAGTCTTGATAGTACCTTAATAATTATTCTTTGTATACTGAGAAAAATGCTGACTCTTAAGTCATTCAAAATCTAAAGATCCCTTTGAACATCTGCCTACAAATTTGATTTGTAATGCACCTCAGAACACTGTGAAGTCCAAATCAGTTAATCTCTACTAAATCAGGTTTCAATTAATAGCAGTCACGAATTTTGGAGCCAGGAAAATACAGTATCATTGAAACAGACCTGCTTGTCTTGCTGATTTACATTTTGAACCATTGTTCTCTGGCTACATAATTTTGCCCACTGATCTTATGAAATGTTTTCCAAGTTGTATTTATTTCTCCTGACACAGGAAGTCCCAGCAGCAAGTACACTTGATATTTAAGAACATCTAAAAATCTCTGATGTTAAAGTATCATCAACTACACACCAAGGAAACTAATGTATTCTCCTGATAACACACCCTCTCCTTCTCCTGAGACATTTTTCACGGAAATTAGAGAACAATTTCATAGAAAACCAAGGGTCTCTTTCTTGCCCTTACTGTACTTTGAGGCTACATTCAGAGCTGCCCTGAGAAATGAGAAAATTTCCATGTGGCCCATTATGTGCATTGGATTTAAATGTCATATTTGACATTCAACAAAACAGCAGGGTGAAATGGCTTCTGAATTGTTTGAGTAGTAGGGCAAGGTGGTGCTTTTGGATTTTGTGCAAAAAATCTTACACTGCTACAAAATTGAAGTTGATCTGTGGTCTCTTTTCCAATTCCAGAATGCTTTCAGAAGGTCAGTGCCCATTCATGCTAAAGGTCAATCAAATACTAATTCAGAGAAGAAAAATGCTTATCACTCAATGAGCTAGCACCTGCCAGAGACAGGACAGCGCCCTGAATGCTTGCTATAGCTTTACACCAACTTCTCTCAGTTGCTGGTTACATATTTTCCCAATATAGGAAGGATAAAGTGCACTGCCAATGGCTACCAGCATGGCTCTCTCGCCTGCCCTCATCTGCAGTCAGTACATGTCTAAAGAATGCAAATTCACTTTTCTATTAGCCAAAGTGAAATAGCCTGAGAGAAACTAGAAACATTTTAGATGATATGGCACACTCCAAAAAGGGTAACTTCAGTCTGACAGTAAGTCAGAAAGTGAAATAATTTAAGTTATAAAACTTATGCCAAAGTTGACCTTGAGCCTTCTACCTGCACTATGGCTCAGAAAGGGTTGATAAAACACTTCAAAGTCATAAACCTATCTAAAGAACAGTATTTCATACTTAGAAATTATTTCAGTTTTTAAGGTTATTTTAAAACCTTTGCCTGTATGAGTTATCAGTTTCTACTTTTAGGTAAACATTTAAATTATTTTTTATTAATTTTAGTTATAATACTTAATAATTTTATCTTCTGGAAATATCATTAATTAATGCAATAATTCATTTTTTGCCCAAATTTTTATTAAGTCACCATAAAATTGGAAGTAAAAGCCAAAACTAGAGACCATTTTTTTCTACTATGCCTATAGAGAAACACTAACTGCAATTTGAAGACTTAAGTAGAAGAAAAAGTAGGTTGAAGTTTATTTCATTACTCATTGAATAATCATGTAATAACTTTAACTGCCTTTCTTACTTTGATAATCTTACTAGTGCTATACATTGGTAACATCTACACAATAACATTTCACATATAAAAATTGTAGCATCTTTCACATGGGTTTGCATGCACAGCAGACTTCAACTTCAATGCAGATAGAAATGAATCACAGTACTCAAACAAAATAACAAAAGTAGAGATTTGACCTTAAACGCTCAAGCCCAGTGTCAGTTCAGTAATTAAAATCAGAGATTAAAAAGTTATACCAGCAAAAGGCTTAAAAATAAAGTATGTATGGTTACAGCAAGACTGAGGACTGCCAGACTACAGCAAACAGACCACAACACAACCGAGGTTCTGGGTAAATGGTTACCTTAAGAGAATGTACCACAGGTTCAGGCTGCTGAGAAGGTGTGGTATGTCCACTGAAGCTAGCTGGAGAGTTGGGTGAACTGTTATTCCCATCAGCCCCTGATGACAACCTAAAAGAACCCTTAGTAGAAAATCAACAACTTTGTTATTAAAACAAAAGTCGTTTATTACTATATAGGTGCCATTTAACATTCAATCCCACCATCAAATGAGCAACATCCCTTTTGTCTATTTTTTCTACTATCCCCCTCAATTTTTTTAGCCTGTCTTAAGCCAGTCTCAGTCTATTCATTGGAATACACTTGCTACTTAAGCAATAAAAAAACAAGAACTATCCCCTTAAATACCTGAATGCCATCTCCAACTCACTAAAGGGTACAATGCTCCCAAGGAATGGCCATTGAGAACATTTCAGGAATAATTTTTGAAACCTAACGACCTGAAGAGCAATGAATCTATGAGTCACTCTGCAGCTGAGTTAAACACGTTTATCCAGCAGATCAAATGTCATATTCCGTACGTCTTAGAAAAACACTAGCACATCACACTGTTGTATTTGAGAAATTGTGTCTCTTGTTAAAAAAAAACTTTGTTGAGTTTAATACCTATAATAATGTAACATTTTTAAAAGAGATTTAACTAAATTCAACATTTCCTTGAGCAAGTATTCGTTTATTAACCTCCTTTGAAATGAAAACCAAAATAGATACAATTTACATATTTGTTCATCTGTGAATCTTCAACTCAGTGGGTGAGAAATGATTAATTAAACCTGTGGAAGCCACAGTCATCTCAGGGGTCTGCAATTTTCCTGAATATTGACTGAGGGAAGACTAATGGATCCACAAGGGAAAAGGGAGACGCAATTATCATCTCTTAGGAAAGTAGCAAGGGGAATTTTCCAAAGCTGGATTTTGTAGAATATTTTATTCTTAAGGAACCTGAGGAATTTTAATTTCTGCCCATCAACAAAACTACAGATTTGGCCACAACTAGTAGAGTCATCAGCGATCTACTTAGCTAGTCCTGTTAACATAATCTCCTGAGTAGTAGGAACCACTGAAGGTGCATTGTGAATTCAGAAAGGGAGAGATAATGGTATTTGGAGACATGCAGTTACAACAGGTATAGGCAATAGTGATACTTTTAGGGAAGGGAGGGACAAGCTGCACATAGCAGCAATTCCTAGAAACCATCTATATGGCTATATACACCCAATGTTATTCACATAGAATGTAACAACCCCTAACATTTAGAATATTATGCTACTTCTTTTGTTGCTGTTGTTTCTTTCTAAACCCTTCAAGGCAAACCTATGAAGGAAAGATGCATTTTTTTTTCTGTTACAAGAACTGTGCAATCTAACACCTCCTGCTTGCTACCCAAACTAACCACTAACAAGAGGAAGCAGACCAATGAGATATCCTTATGCTCTTTTAGCTTCTTTCCTTGATTGCTACAAAATTTTATGTGAAAAGCAGGAGATAAAATAGCCTGACAAATATACAAATATAGACCCCCCCAAACCTACGTGAAAATTAAATTATTAAATTTGTTTTTTCTTAGTTTGTAACTTGGATCAGACATAATAACACTAATGTCAATAATAACAAGGAAATTGTCTGCAATTTAATGAGAGGTAGAAAACTGACTTTTGCAGGCCCTAAATTTTACAGTTTTTCTCTTTAGATTACGTGATTCCAAAGGGATGAGTGACAAGGAACTTCTTCCTCCCTGAGGGACACTGTTCCTCTGCAGTTTTTGTCCCCTGCTGGTACTTCATTCAGCAAAGCTTGCTGTGGCCAGGTGGGGAGTGGGGGTGGTATGCATTCAGTTCACCTCCATTTAGAACAGTACGTTACTGTGCCATTTTTCTTCTGCTTTGTGATCTGATGCACAAGACCATAAACACTCCTGTTGTGTGTGATCATCCTGCCATTTCCTTCCTGAAGTCCCCTCTTATGAAAAATTTCTTTCTAAATCTTCTCTTCATGTGTTTAACCAAAAGGCAGAAACATCAGTAATAGCATGATTTTCTTGGACCGGGGAACCTCTGCTTTTAAAAACATTTTAGATTAAACTCAACATTAAACTATCTTTGAACCTAATGACCCGAGTCAATTGGCATTGTTGAAACTTAGGAAGACTCTTGTGCTGATCATAGCTACTAAGAAAAAAGTAAATGCTTTTATTAGTTTCCTTTCAAAATGGTTATAATAAGTTCTCACCTGGAATATTGATTAGGGGAAAATGTATTTTTCAAAGCCTTAACTTTAAATTAGCTTTGAGGTCCATGGGCTAGCAATCAACCTGAAAAACTAAGGTGAATCTCTCTCTCTCTCTCTTTCTCTCTCTCATACACACACACACGTACACTAACTCTTCCTCTGCCTCTCTCCCCCTCTCTATTTTCCCTCCCAAATATTAGATAGACGATATGTGTGTGTGTGTGTGTGTGTGTGTGTGTGTGTATATATATATATATATATATATATATAGAGAGAGAGAGAGAGAGAGAGAGA